AGTAGAATTTTGTTTATTAAAATATGTTTCCCGGGAAACATTTGATTTTTCCAATAGTTAATGGGGTCAAATCACCTACAATCATTTTTGACTGTAGTGACCAATTTACATTTTTTCTCAAAGGAAATTCTAACAGTAAATGTGGTGTTCATTCAGGAAACTCAGTTAATCCAAAATCGAATAGAATTTTGAACAACATTCATCAAGATTCTGACGATATTAAAGAATGTTCTGATGAGATTTTTTTGTATGAACATTCGTATGAAAATTTACCAGTGTATGGCCAGCTTAACTCTTCCACATTCTCATATAAAAAGAGTTTGGGCTTTACATACACTTTAACCGATAACTGTGACCATAGAAACATTTTGACTGCAGTGGCTCAAGGGCATACTGAGTACTATCCTTGTCGCACTCCTTACCGATATGTCCCTTGTAATGGGGGATGCTCGCAGTGACTGCGGATGGCGCCGCAAATATCAGCAAAATTGTAGAAATGTCACCAGCACACCAGTCCTTTTAGGATAGCAAAAGCTTCATTTGTTGAAGTATTTTGTCATATGACCAACAAGCGCTTTCGGGACCCCACAGGGTCCCTTCATCAGGCTTTAGCAAGGGTGTGCTGGTGACATTTCTACAATTCAGGGGCATAATGATCTCCATCACCAGGGCCATCTGTCTTGTCCCTGTTTGTATACACAACACGTGTAATATTTATTGTGCATTATTGTGTATGATATGCCATATTTTTCTATTGCCATAACAAAGTGTAAATCACATAATGGAGTTCTGCTTTAAGATATTCTGTAAAATATAGAAGATAGTTATTAGCTGCACTCTAAAATATCTTGCTTGAAAACAATCTAGACTAGTAAGAGCAAGTACAACAATTATACTTAGACAAATCACATATGAAGCTTCAAATATTTTCTAAACGCTCACAGTGTCCTGGTACTACTATGTCACTTCTACACTGATATAACACTACATTCTGTGAGTGTACTGTGAAACTTCTTTAGTTATCCACATCATTTCCCAAATTGTCCTAAAAAATTGCTATCAATACGACCAGTTGATGCATTGCTGTATTACCCAGGCCATATATTGGCAGCTGTAGGCTATTTAGTGTTCTAACTTGTATTTTAAAAATGACATAAGCCTTAAAGTGACACTAAACTCAGGAGTTAAACCATAAAAATGCATTCAAGTACCATATTAACAAAAATTTAGCTTATTTGTGCATTGTTGTGATGGACTACAATCTCAAATTAAGTTTACTATTGAGGGCAGCACAGTGGCGTAGTGGTTAGGGCTCCTGTCTAAATTGGCCCATGCATGTGAGATAGGTTCCTTAGATTGAAAGCTCCATGAGGGCAGGGACTAATGTGAATGTGCACTGTGTAAAGCGCTGCGTAAATTGTTGATGCTATATAAATACCAATAATAATAATAGTTTGTATTGAGAGTGAGCTTTGAGCAGTGGCTACTTTACAAAACTCAGAGGAGCCATGAGGAGGAAAAGTTACCACCTTCCAGAAGGAAGGGCAGTGTCAGCATGAATTCAGAGATAAATTGAGGATCTACAGCTGAATAAGGTACATTTTTGTTAATAGTTGAGGTATTTAAATGCATTTTTAAAGTTTAACTCCTGAGTTAAATGTCACTTTAAGAACTGAAATCTAAGAAGTACTGAAGGTGAAAATGTATTACAATTGTATAATCTCTAAATATTGTGATGCAGGACAACCCCATCAAAATATTTATATGATTGTAATTAATTTGAACACTCTCAAAATGTTGAAGTGATCAGAGGACCACAAAACACATTCGTGCGCGTAATCTAATTTTATCCCCAATGTTTCCAATAAATGTTTGTATATGAAAACAGAATTTAATTTCAGATCTCTCACAAAGGACTCCGTGAACTTTGTTTTCCATAATCTGAAAACCTGTGCTAAAAATTATTATGTCTAGAGTTCATGATACATCAGCTGCGTAGATATAAAAATAGAAAAATAGGGATTACCTAGCATATTTGACACCCAGAGCAAATAATTCTTGAACACCCTCTCCTACATACAACCAAATTGTTTTCAGTAATAATCTTTGAATGAAACAAAAAATAATAGATAAGAAAAACAAGCAGTTCAAATTGTGGATTCCCTTTACATTCCCTTGAATGTCCTTAGTTATGTTGGTAATCAGCATAGTGCGCACTGCTAAGGAACGTTAGTCCCAGAACTATGTAAGCACCATCAGGTAGGAAATCAATTCATCACTATTTAAAGAACCCCTAGAAATCGCTGGAGGAACCACAGAGTAAGTAGCCTACTCTACTAGTGTAAACCATCAAAGTTAATAGCCTGTCCTACTTTACAATATTAGTTTAGATTCGACAGTATACACTATTGTGGGCTCCTATGTTAGTCTTATTTTTCCATGTTTATAGAGACATCCCAATTCTTATTATAAAGGGTAGTGAACACTTGTGCAATGGCACATGGAATATGGTCAAGGAGTAATTTTTACATTGAGAAGTACTTTCTACATAGCAGGGCCTATGTAACCTGTGTTGGCAGGAAAAAAACCTCTAACCAAATGATTCTTTTAAAATTCACATGAATGTGGGGCCACTCCATAATAAACTCATATGTTACATAAATTTGAGGTTGCTCCAAAAACTGTCCTTTCCTTTCCTTACGAGTCATTGTAATACACCTAATATTTAACGTAAAAGTGTAGGGTTTATAGCTTCAGTGCATAGTTGCAGCGTAAATAAAATGTTGTTCATATGAGATTCAAACAAATCATTTGACCCTATTCTAATAAACACTAAAAAATTCCAGCACAAGGGGCGAAGGGGGTTCTTCACAGTAAGATCAGTTAGGGTCTGGAACTCACTGCCACAGGCGGTGATTTCAGCAAATAATGTGGAATTGTTCAAGAAACTTTTGGACGATTTCTTAAGGGACCGTAATATACAGGGGTACAGGTACTCCTAGAATGAGATCCTAATAGGTTGGACTTGATGGACTAATGTCTTTATTCAACCTCAAATACTATGTAACTATGTAACTATGTAACTATATTGTTACAGAAAATGAAAAATGGGTTTTCTTTAGGACTTGGTTTTATGACCCGGTTTGACTTTTAAAGCGGTTAAATCTTTGGCAAGATGTGAAACAATAAGGCTGTCGATCTGTCAGGCTGTCAGAAAACCACAGTTTCTGTATCCACGTTACTACTATATAAAAAGTTATAGAACTTAAAATATGGAGAAGTTGAGGTACTTAAGAAACAAAAAGAAAAATAGTTTTACATTCAAGGCTTAGTTATTCCACAGATACAATCCTCACCAAGCCAAATAAGCAAACATCAAAGCACCGCACCTGCTTCCCTGCACACCAACACCCAGGATTCAATAAAATCTCTCTGACTCCAGTCTGCAAGTACCAGGATTCAGTAATGGCTTTGCAAGCCACTATTGAAGTCTAAGTTCACTTTTTCTCTAGGACCTCACAGCTACATGCAAAGGTGGTGCAATTGCCAGGCCAGTGACTCTTGCTTTGCACAAGACTGGCTAATTGCAATAAGGGCACCTGGAAGGGATGGCTATCTGCTAAGACCACTTTAAACTTGTGTATAAGTGTTACTTAAGTCAGACTGTTTGCAATCATACATTATGGCTCACATCAAACTAGCCACAGAAGAGAACACAGTTCCCAGCACAGATATTTGGGTACTATAAATAATGTACTCTTTATTAATACAACATATTTTCCAAGTTATAAAAAGGGGCAAAAACGCTAGACTCTTTTTCTCTAGTCAACACTAGAAATTTCTTCTACGAAAAAAATTGAATTTCACAAAGGCTGATATGCCAAGCTTATTCTACTGAATTACGTGTTTTATATATGTTAAAGTGGCACTAAAATCAGGAGTTAAATCTTAAAATTTCATTCAAGTACATTAACTATTGCATGCTGACACTGTCCTTCCTGCTGGAGGGTGGTTACTTTTGTTACCCATGGTCCTAATGTGTGTTGTAAAGTAGTCACCGCTCCAAGATCGCTCCCGTGATGCACTACACGTTTAGTTAGCTAATTTGTATTGAAGTTATAGTGAGTGAGCTTGGAGCGGTGGCCAATTTAGAACACGCACAGGGACCATGGGGAACAAAAGTAGCCACCCTCCAGAAGGGAGGACAGTGTCAGCACCAATTCACAGATGATTTAAGTATCTACAGCTAAATGATTCACAGATAGGCTACATTTTTGTTATTAGTTAGGGTACATGAATGCATTTTTAAGAGTTTGGTGTCTCTTTAAATATACAAACTGTATATGTTATATGTTAACAAAGGTTAAAACCAAGTAACTGCAAAATGTAGTAAACCTGACAAAGGTCAACATCTGTTTTTTTAATCATATTAACAAAAATTTAACATGCATCATGACGATTTGGAAACTCTAGTATTAGCATCATTGGCTAAATGATGTGTGGAAACATCATTAGAGGCCATCAACTAGGTTTAAATATTCTAAATGTAAGTACCAAGCAACCCTTTTCTCCCTCTACTGTCTTTTATTCTCTATTCATCTTCTTTTGGTACCCAAACCTTCTTTTTATTTCACTTTTTGGCAATCTTTCCTTGCACTCTGATTTTTTTTCATTAAACCTTCTTGAAATGATCCCAATTAAAATCTCCTTTAACTCAGTAAACTTTCTTGTTACTCTAATAAATACTTCAAAATATATGTGATTGTTAGCTACTGTATTAGACCACTTTACACATGCAGTTTAATCATTTTCTGTTGTGGTCTCTTTTTATACTTATCATGGTTGAACATTATTGTCATTTAAAGACAGCAACACATGTTACATCTAACAGATTGTACAACCAAGCAGTAACAACAGCTATTTAGTACATGGGGCTACCAGGAGACCGTACAGGAGATTGTACGGTCAGATTGTAACACGTGAGGCCAACTTTAATTTACCTTATGAAGTGACGTATTATTCAATGAAGCAGATTCTGGAAAACAAAAAAACACAAAATTCACTCATTGAAATTTGAAAAGTTATATAACTAAAAGATGTGAATATTATTTATTTTGGAAGAATGCTTTGTTATGTGAGGGTTTCTTTTTTTTTTTTTGTGGTTATTGAATTGGTGCATTCCACTAAGAACATCCTGTGGAGTAGCATGGATCCATAATCTATAGAACACAAAATTAGTGTTGTTACCATTAGCAACCACTTAAGTTTTTACTTACATTAAAAAAATAAAACTTTTTTGATTGGTCACCATGGACCACAACTTCAATTTTCCTCTAATTGTTCACTCCAGTTTTAACAAGTTAGGCATGTGAACTTTAGAATGCTACATTTTACATGTAAACACACTTTACTGTGATTGTACTATATACCACATCTACCGGCCTCCCTCCATCCATATCTCTACTCACCCCCTCAAATCTCTACTCACCCCCTAGGAAAACTTAAGCAAGTGTTCCTCATTCATTTAACATTGAATGAAATGGGGGGAATTTACCAAAATTGGAACAGAAAGAATATGGAGAAGTTGCCCATTGGTTGCCATGGGCAACTCTGTTCTGCTCCAGATTTGATAAATCCCCCTCAATGTATTTGAAAGGGCAAAGAACCACAGATGTCTGCAAACTGCACTAAATTGAGTGGATCAGTAAATTATGCACTGAAAGAGTGGATTAGTATGGATTCAATGGAAATAACTTTTATCATTCATTCATCACAAGGAGAAGGTAAATATTGGAAAACCCATTTTAGCATTTTCCTTAACATTTTCTTTTATCTACCCTACAATGAAATGCATGCTTATGCCATAGTACGACACATACCTTCACAATCCACTGTTAATGCTGCCCATAAAAAGGTTTATCCAGAAGGTGTTGAGAGGTCAGCAGGCCGGTCCTTTCCGGACAGTCACGTGATCAGGAACTTGAGCATTTGTGTCAACCATCACTATGCTGAAAGTCCATCTGTGATTAGATCTGAGTTCCACCTGATAAATGGTACTTGACAGCTGGTAGATGTCCAAAACATAAACAAATGACAGGATTTCCTGATCTCAACAACTCCCTGTTTCCTTCGTCAAGTTAAAAGATCAGGTATTGACTTAGGTCCACAGAGATGAACATCCATAGACCAAAGGTCATCTAATGACAGACAGCCTCAGGACATCCACTGATTACCGGTGATGAAGGGAGCTTGTGCTATCTGTGCCTGTCCACTTGACACCTCCACAAAGCAGCAGCATCTGATCTCATCCGCATGGAGCTCCTGTAATGTCTTTAGACCCAGACTACTCCTCTCACACACCTAAACTTTTCCTGTCTGCACCTCTGACTTATTTCATAGCCAGCTCCTCCTTCGCTCTCTCTCTAAAAACTTTAACCCTGTGAGGAGAAACAGCCCAGCTGGCATGGCTTCACCCTGTGAAGTTACTTGTTAAAAGGAGGGGTGTGTCAGCCGGCAGACAGCTCAAGCACACAAGAAAGGAAGAGGGATTTGTGGGATTACCTGGGAGATGTACATTAGTGGAGGAAGTCACAAGCGCCTGACAGTCTGCAGGATGTAGACCTCAGGAAGGAATAAAGACTTCTATCACACACAATACCACATAAATAATACAGGTTCTTTTAATAACCCGAAAGTTACCTGATCAAGTCAGGTTACTGCTATCCACAACAATCCCTGACGCAATTTTGTAAACGTAAGGTTAAAAGAAACCTGTCATAGGAGAAATACATGGGCTATTACTTTTGACCCCTCCATTGAAAAATACTATTTGCTTGACTGTTGTGCTGTTGATTTGGCATGTATAGTTTATGAGTCACTGACCTAGAACAAGAATAAACAGAGGGAATTCTAGTTTTATTCCAACGTTCATTTGACACATGCTTATTCTGGGTTAGCGACCGAGGAAATATTATATCCAGACAGGGCAACTAACATGTTCAAAGGAAGGTAAGCAATGGCAACTGGCATAGTCCAGACAGGTGTAATTTGATTTTGAATCAAATGAAATACATTGTTCAAATTGAATTAAGTCCACCCAAATTGAAATAAATGTACTAGATGGACACTGATTAGATGGTCTGTTGGCCTCTTCTCTAAAGGACTCCAGTGGAAACCTTTCCCGCTTTAGTTCTATCTCTGTCCACTCCTCTAGCTGAGACCATTAGGCTATTATGCAGGAGAACATCAAGAACCCGTGTTGTTTCAGGAACTGCACAGCACTGGGTGCTATTGTACTGGGAAAAACAACTGAAATGAATAGCCTAGCACAGCCAGAATTCTGCATGCAATTATTAGGTCAGTGCAGTGCTATGTCTGGGGAACATAAGTGTGTACTACACACTTTCAGACCCAGCAAATGGAAGGTTCTATGCGAGCCTAAACATTGACATTGTTGACTTCCCATTCTGCAAATGCTAATTGTCTGGCTGGCAAGCCAGTTAGTATGCCTAGTTTGCATTCTAGTTACACTTCAATGCTGCACTTCAACTACTAAAGACAATGAACCAGCATGAAAGTCAGGCAAATAGCATTTTAGAAGGAGAGGTCAGCAGACTCTTCAGTACAGGTTTTGTTTAAAGGGTGTCATGCTCCCCACTAGATTCTCCATCTATTGTTTGACTTTCCTTATAGTAAGTCAGTACGGGAGAGACACACTGCTTTCCACCGATATAAGGTCTTATTACATAGGTGCTGTTTAAAGGAAGCATGCACTGAGAGAAACATGGAGGCTGCCATTGCTGACTTACTGTTCTGTAAATTATAGCTGTCTAGCTGGCATTAAATTGAGTCTTGAACCCAAAAAGTGTCAAGAAAGTCAATATAGAATGGAGAATATATCATCCACGAGATAGGGACTATACCGCCTATTCAGCGGTGCATAATACATATACGCGACTTGACTACATCTTTATAGACCACTACCACCTTGGGATTATACAGGATATAACTATTCTCACTGCCGCCCTCTCGGATCATGCTCCTGTGAGGGTTACATTGAGAATACCAGGAGACAGACGTCTACCTCCTGTATGGAGGTTAAACGAATCCCTATTGCGGGGTAATAAGATAAAAGCTGTTTTCACAAAAGAACTACAGTATTATTTGCTAAGTTCTCTGTAAATGCTTACCATACACACTGCTGTTCATTAGTATTCACAAACTAAAATTAAAGTCTGTCATTGAAATGAGACTTAATGGCCATGGCATAATGTAGAAAAGAGAATCAGCATTGCATGCTAATACCATTAATAAGTGACAAATATGAATTACACAGGTTCCGTTGCTTATTGGATAAAGGTAAGGTAATGACGGAATCTACACCGATAAGCCATGACATTATGACCACTGAGAGTGAAGTAAATAACATTGATTATCTTGTTACAATGGCACCTGGAAGTGGATGAGATACATTAGGCAGCAACTGAAAATGTTGTCCCTGAAGTAGATGTGTTAGAAGCAGAAAAAAAAGGGTATGTGTAAGGACTTGATTGACTTTGACAAGGGTCAAATTGTGATGTCTAGACAACTATGTCAGAGTAACTCCAAAACTGCAGCTCTTGTGGGATGTTTCCGGTCGGCAGTGGTTAGAACTTACCAAAAGTGATTCAAGGATTCATGGGTGGCCAAGATTCATTGATTCACGTGGGGTGAAGGCTGGCCCTTGTAGTCCAATCCAGTAGAAGAGCTACTGTAGATCAAATTGCTGAAAAAGTTAATGCTGGTTCTGGCAGAAAGGTGTCTGAACACTCAGTGCATCACAGTTTGTTGAGTAAAGGGCTGCATAGCCGCAGACCAGTCAGGCTGTCCATGCTGACCTGTTTACACCGCCAAAAGCGCCTATAATGGGCACATGAGCATCGGAACTGGACAATGGAGCAATGGAATAAGGTGGCCTGGTCTGATAAATTACATTTTCTTTTACATTATGTGGATGGCCAGGGGTGTGTGTGTCCCTTACCTAGAGCAAAGATGACACCAGGATGCACTATGAGAAGAAGGCAAGTCTGCGGAGGCAGTGTGATGTTTTGGGCAATGTTCTGCTGGGAAACCTTGGGTCCTGCCATTCATGTGGATATTACTTTGACACATATCACCTACCTAAACATTGTTGCTGACCAAGTACAGCCCTTTATGAAAATGGTATTCCCTGATGGCAGTGGCCTCTTTCAAGAGGATAATGTGCCCTCCACACCGCAAAAATGGTTCATATCTCCACTGGTTAATATCATCACCAGAAACTATGTAAAACCTTCTGGGGGGAATTCATATCTCCACTACCACAGCCGCCACCACCCAAGATGGATAAACAACATCACAAAAAGCCAGTTCTGCCGGCTCAAAAGGAACTGCAACAATTGTTCAGACTATACCACCGCAAGTCTCCTACTCTCCACATTTGATCAAGGATGCATACTCGACGTATCTTGAATCCGATTAACTCTAATTCACGAAGATTGATCGACCCCCAAGTGCACACAGTGGCAAAAACACAGCTAGGTTCATTACCACATTCAATAATAAGCACAAAGCTATTCAGAGTGTGATCTACAACAACTGGAATATTCTGTTGAAGGACCATAAATTAGGTCCCCTCTTACCCCCCACACCTTCCATCAATTTTAGGCAGAATAGAAACATCAACAATTTAGTAGCGCCCAGCAAATTACCCAAACAACTAAAAACAACCCAAACATTTTTTTTTATTTGACAACAGAGTTGGGACTTTCCGGTGTAAGAAACCCAGGTGCCTTATGTGCCAATTCATCCATCACGGTCAAACCGAGTTTAGCGATCACCTTCGTAATACCCACAAAATTAACCAATTTATTACCTGTGCCCATGATCATGTGGTTTATGGGCTAACATGTCCTTGTGGCATGATTTATGTTGGACGCACGATGCACCCCCCACATTAGAGAATCGGTGAACATAGGCGATTAATCGAGAAAGGAGACATCGAACATAGTGTCCCCCGACACTTTACATCCAAACACTATAAGAATACACAAGCCCTCCATGTTTTCGCCATCGAACACATTTCCACACAACTAACACCCTCTGAACGGTTTTGCCTTTTGTGCAAAAGGGAAACCTTTTGGATCTACAAATTGAATACACTAGCACCCAGTGTATGGCCTAAATGAGGAGATAGAAATCCATACCATCCTATAAGTCCAATACATGCGTGCATGTGTCAGTCCTCACACTAGTGCGATGTGGACCTATACATGTACATTGGAATGCACAGGGTCTGGCACATTGGTTGTGCACACACGTGTTCATATGGTAGTTGATCTGAGCTTATGGTTATATGAAAATGTTAGGTTTGTGTACGTGCACTGATATGATTTTATGAACTGACACGATTTATTTACAAAAACAACACACGACAGTGATAAAAGATCCAAAAGTAAACAATTTTCTGTCAATTTATATCTTTTACAATCTCTATATATTTATAATATAATTTATTTTAGTTCATTTAATTTATTAAATCTCATCAGATTTTATTATAATAAACCAAACTATCCTGTGCAGATGGCCTATAATTTTTTTTTTTTAAATAGCCACAATGCAGTTAGCATGCCAATCATTTTATTATTTTATTGTTTAACTGGCTTTTATTTATTAATTTTCACCTCTCTTGTCTTAATAGTTTTATTAATAAATGTTACGTTTTAACTCACGCTAGATTTTAGACATCCCGGCTTGACAGCCCCATACTACAACGCCTAACCGTGCCCCCCCCCTCAAGATTTCCGCCAATAGTGTCCAGACACGTCCTTTGGCTCTGCCCACCTGTCACATTTAGAGATGCCCTCATATTCCCGCTCGTTCTTAGATTTCTCCCTCGGCTTGAAAAAGAGGCACCAGCCTCGAAACGCGTAGCCCTCTCACAGGCCCTCTCACTCGACGACCTTTGAGCCTTCAGCTCCACGCTGATCATCACCAGCATTCTCCCACACACCGCTGACTGACAGCACTCGATACCGCAACAGAGCGGCTTCTCTCCCACGCAGCCGCAGAAGGCTCAGCCTGGCCAGCTGTGTCTTCTTTGCACTGTACCGCTTGAACCAGCGACCAATAGACTCTCTATATATAGTATATAGAGTATATATAGACTATAGTATATTGGTCCCTTCAGCCTTTCTCTCCAGGTTCCACACAGTCCCTCCTTACCGGTAGGCATCATCAAACAGTGAGCTAACTCAGGTTTCCCTACCATCTTTTTATATATATCTCTCTATATATATCACACTGTAAATTAAGTTTTTTGAGCGCTTCTT